TCAGATATTTACATTATGATTCATAACAGTAGCAAAGTTACAGTTATGAAGTAGCAATGAAAATAATTTTATGGTTGGGGGTCACCACAACATGAGGAACTGTATTAAAGGGTCGCGGCATTAGGAAGGTTGAGAACCACTGCTATATATGTTTGTATACATACACATAACAGTGACATACATGACTGCAAGTTTCACAATATTCTTACACTGTTTTCTAATCCAGCTGTATTTTTAAAATATATTTATGTTTTTGTTAGAATGTTACAGAGGGGTTCATGGTGATTTTTTCTTTTAACATTTCGAGAGAGAGAAAGGAAAGGAGAGGGAGCGAGAGAAACATCAGTGAGAGATTGGAACATCGATCGGTTGTCTCCCAAGTGGCCTCCCAACCAGGGATCGAGCCCACAACCCAGGCATGTGCCCTGACCAGGAATCAAACCAGCAACCCTTTGGTGTATGGACAATGCCCAACCAACCGAGCCACACCGGTCAGGGCCAGTTCTGTTTTTTTACATGCCAGTGTGACCACCTAAGTTAATTTTTGATACACTGATGGGTCACAATCCCCCACTGGAAACACATTCAGTGTACCGTGCCAGGCCTCTTCTCTGCCTTCTGCTGTCTGAGTAGACTGCGTTACAGACCTCAACTAGTCCAGCATGAACACCCAACCAAAGTATGAGGATAGTAAAACATTCTCCCCTGAAAACAATTAAATGAACAGTCTACCGTTTTTCTCATGCTAAGGTTTTCTATTAGATGATTCTGCTTCTGATGGAATGCAACCAAAATTAGTAAAACCTCGTGGAATAAACATGATTCTCTTGTTTATTCTAGGAGGAAGAGAATGGCCAAACTTGGTGCCAAACTGCCTCCAAACCAGGATACATCCAGCAATCTAGTCAACACCTTTCATTCTGCTAGCCTGCGGCACCCTAATGTCAAACAGGAAACGCTGGCAGGGAGCAGTTCTACCACTTAGTTCAACTCTGCAGGACAACTCCCTCACAGAACAAAACAGTAAAGCTTCATGAATGCTGACCTCGTTTATTTGGAATTTGGCGTAAAAACTTTAAACAATTTTTACCCACAAGTACCTTTGCCAGCCTAAGGAGAAAAAGATTGATGAGCAAATTAAGAGCCAAAAGACGACTGCAAGAAAAATGTTTACCTTATTTAAGAGAACAAACTCGTCTAGCATTATGGATCACAATCATACCAGCTTAATAAATTCTCATGACAAATCACTTTTATCTATTTGTTAAAGCAGGTCTGGAAGGACTTTCATTTGGCAATATAGTCAAACTTGTTCAAAATGCTATTTGCACTTTAATGAACCTGAGTTTATTTTAAAATAGGCTATGATTCACCATAGCATATTCAAAATTTTAATGAGTGCCTGAAGTTATCCTATGTAAGGTTTACACTATTAAACACCTTATAAATACTGGTCTGACGAGCACCAAGCTCAGTGTTTTCCACGTAAAGCAGAATGTTCTAGTATTCGGACTCCAAGAGTTAGAAACAGTTTTACTTACTTTTACTCAAAATAAACGTGGGTTTTACAGAAGAAATACCAAGCATTGCTTTATTTTTCTTAATTATGACCTCCATTAAACAATCCTGGAGTTGCCTATTTAAATGTCCGTTCTATTGAGTCTTAATTTCTTAGTTCTTTGTGGCTCTAATGAAGATTCAACCTTCCCATAATTTCAAATACTCAAGAATTAA